AGTGAATTAATAGATTGAAGTTAGTGTCAGGTTGTGAATGATTTTGAATACTGTAACAGATGTAATTAGTTTTGGCCGTATTCAGGGTTAATAGATTGTTTTTTAACCAGTTGTTAATCAAGTGCAGGCCAGATTCAGCATTATTCTTCACATCAGCCAAGTTATTCCCAGAAAAAACGACTGCTGTATCATCGGCATAGGAAAAGATGTGCGCATGGTCAATTTTTAGATTACAGAGGTCATTAATATATATAAGAAAAAGCGTTGGTCCTAACACACTTCCCTGTGGTACACCATAGGATACAGCAACGTCTTCACTGATGTAATGACCCAATTTCACTCTTTGCATTCTATCAGATAGATAGCTCTTAAAGAGAGATAGTGCAACATCTCTGATACCTAATTGTTCTAGTTTTTGGACAAGAATAGGGATGAAAACGGTATCAAACGCTTTCCTGAGGTCCAAAAAACAGTCAGACACTTGATCCCTTTATCCATCGTCTCAGTAACTAGCTGGCTAAGAGCAGCTATTGCATCTTCAGTTGATCTGCCCTGTCTGAAGCCATACTGTGACGTCGATAGAAGCCGAAATTTTTCTAAGTAATTTAATAATCTAGAATTCAAAAGTCTCTCAAGTATCTTCGAAATAGCTGGCAGTACCGAAATTGGCCTATAATTACCCACATCATCCCTGTCCCCACTCTTGTATACAGGAGTGACTACTGACTTTTTTAGCGGGGCTGGAAAAACGCCCTGCTCAAAACATAAGTTAGCTAAGTGAGTAACTATAGGTACAATTTCGTTTTTTACAAGTTTTAAGAACGTGATGGGAATTTTGTCCCAACCAGGAGCGCCATCTGATCTCAAGTTCATGAGTGTTCTTTCGACTTCTTTCACATCAGCTTGTAGCAAGACAAAGGAGTTGCATGTAGCAACAGTATTTCTAGTTTCGAGAATTAGATTAGAATTGCCACTAGAATTAATATTTTCGGCAAGATGCTCTCCTATTTTCGCTGTAGATGTACCTACTCGTAGTGTTCTACTGTCACCAAATCAAAAAATCGCCATCCACTCAACTTAGATCACTTCCACCAGCTTTATATTGCTTATATAATAAAAAAGTAAACCAATAGCAAGAGATTTCAATGAATACTTCTGACGTAGTTATAAGATTATTTATTTCGATTATTATTTTAAAAAAAATTCACTTGTCGTCAGTTGGTCAATATGGATGTGAACAAGCTGTCTTTCGAAAAACCGAACTTATCAATTTGATTTTTTTTATTAGCTTTAGATTTTAATCCATATGAAGCCTTTTGTATTTCAATATTCCGTCCCGTTCTTTAAGGTGCTACTCCATGTGAACGACCTTGAGCATTTGCCGGCGGCGCGCCGCTCGCTTCAATATATTGCTATGTAAGACGCCACCTATTCTAGGTAAAAGAACGTAGTATTATTTTTTCAACATCAATAAACTAATTTATGGAAATACACACAGCCTACAACGATAAATGTATTTTAATTTTTTTATTCGGTATATTAGTTGCATTATATTAGAATTATGTATTTTCATATATTATCTAATTATGAAATTTTATAATTAATTATATATTAAAAATGACGCATTGAAAATTGTGAGTTTAAGAGATACCTATTCACTATAGGTAAATAAATAGATAGCTCGCCTTTTGTACAAATATTTGGTGCAATAAAGAATAAATAAATAAATAGGATGTTTCGTGGATGTGTTTTTGATTATTGTTAATTTTTACGTGTCACGTATTGAAAAGTAACATACCTACCTACAAATTTTTGAACTATGACCTTGTAACTTAGCCTGCTTATTACTTATGCTGGCAGATATTATCCTCGCCCCAATGATTGATGAGGATGAAAATCAATTTTATTTCTACATACGTAATTATATTTATTTATACATAAGGGTAACTTTAATAAAGGTAATACAAAAATCCACAAGAAGTATAAGGGTTCAATCTTTCAATTTCAATTGTAAAAAAACGTTACCCCCACACTAGGATTTTCTCCTGTGTCGCGGAGGCAGTTTACAAACATAAATTGCACAAGGACAAACATCCAGACCTGGAACAATTATTTGTAGGCCATACAAATACTTGTTCCGTGCGAGATTCGAACCCGCGGCCCCCAGCGCAACAACTGATTGCTAAGCCACTGCGCCACGGAGCCGTCGCCGGGTTATAGCTAAAGTGACCATACGTCCCGTTTTGAACGGGACTGTCCCTTTTCTCGGTCACCTGTCCCATTGTCCCCAAACAAAGCTCCGGGACACAAAATTGTCCCGTAACTCATTGGATGGAAGTATTCAAAGTCAACAATCTTCAACATAATTTTTTTAAATCGAATATATTTTATGTCTACCTGGTACGAATGCTCCGGTAGAAAGAGTATTTTTTTATTTTGAATAAATTGTGGGCGTCTGAAAGAAACACTTACGGTTCCAGAGTTCTAAAGGCGATGTTGTTAACAAAGATAACAATAAAAAAACTTGAGCAGAATTTTATTTTTATTTAAAATCATCACCAACTTTATTAATGCAAATTTAATCCACTGACAAATGTATTTATAATTTAAAAAAATATGTTGCATTTAATAATTACCGTCTATACAGAATATAATTTTACAGTGAACACTAATTGTATAAAGTTATAGTTTTTAGAGTATAAATAAACCCATGTCCTGTTTTGAGTTAAAAAATAAATGGTCAGTTTAGTCTTTTTAGTTAAATTTAGTTTTAAAATTTTTTAGTTAATAGTAAAAAGTAGGTATATTAGTACCTACTTAGATACTTTTTACCGAATTATAAGTATAGAACACCTTATACTCAATTATTTTTTGAAAAAGAAGAAAAAACAAGCAATAAATAATATACTATATTTTAGCAAAAAACTATAACTTAGTAATACTAATTATAACTTAGAACATAAATGAAAAACTCATAACTGACTTTTTGGCCCGACCCAGGATTCGAACCCGGGACCTCATGATCAGCAGTCGCACTACTACAACCACTAGACCAACGAGGCAGTACTATACTTAATAAGATATTGTGGTTGGGTGATAATATTGAATTAGCCTTTTATAGTGTAAATTATAATATTTGTCGAAATTTTAATTATGGATTCGAACCTTACATGCTAATGGTGCTTCATTTTTTTATTTGCATTTACTTCAAAGAAAATATACGCAAAAAGCTTCATCGCGCAGTAAAAAACACAACAAATATATGTATAACTAATAGGAAAAATTATACCGAAAACAAACACATATAAATACCTAAAACAACAATACTACTTATAAATAACCTAATAAGTAATATTATTATCGACTGATACGACGTGAGTGTATGCGCTGGTCGACGCTCTAACGACACGGGCTTCACGTCGAAGAGCTCAGGGCTCACTGACTTCAGCAAGCCCGTGAGCAGTGAATATGCCCAGATTTTAAAATAAATTCTTAATAAAATTAAATTTTGGTCTTTTGAAAAAAAATTACTATAGAAATGTTCATTAATAAATTGCCTATCCATTGGTGTAAATCGTAAAATAAAATAATACTTACTTTACGAGGAGATGCATGTTATCAATAATAATTTCACATTTATGTGGTTTCGTTGTAAGGAGATTATATTAACATTTATTCTTTAAAAAAAAAATTGGATATAGCTTTTATGGAATCAAGATTATGTAGAAATATAATGTGTTTTTTATTTGTTGATATATCTTTTAAATAAAAAGTAGATGGGTCCTAAAAACCGCACAAATAACGACTAGCGCGACATTTTGCTCAACCTGCGCCTTAATATACTTTTTTATTACTTATTTTACAATTTTTACAATTAAAAAAAAATTCGAGTTAATTAAACGGAAACTATTTTCTGTAGCTATAAACGAAATACATACGTGTTTCGGTAATTACTAAATAATAAAAGTAAATTGATTACAGATTCAAAACATAATAAACGAGCGTTCGAGGTGAGCACTTTTGGATTTTCCAATTATGAATTTCAATTAAGATAGGCACTATCAACCGGTGATTTTTATACAAGTAAGGATGACAAACGAGGACACAGTCCATCTGATGGTATGTAAATGATGTAGCATATAGACCTACATTTATCCTCGATAAATAATCAAAATGTTTATGCGTTGTTTCCCTAATAACTAAGGTTACCAGTAAAACGGGTCTCTAGTTCTCGGCACTCACCGCACGAAACATAGCGGCAATATGCCTTTTAAATAAATCTAGCAGCACCTATGGTCACCGGAGAACTGAGATGTTAGACGTTGCAATGACGATAATGTGTACTGTTTGTGTAAACATAAGAACGTGGTAGAGCCACGCTGCAACTATATTATTTCGACTGGGGTAAGACCACGCCCTCACAGAATACCATCGTAAAATAGCAGCTTAATGCTGCTGTGTTCGTATGGTGAGTGTAGAGAACCGGAGACCCTTTTTACTGGAAACGAGGCATTCCATCTTAGTCCTCGGGGGTGATAACGCATCTGCATTTTGGTTATTAATCGAGGATAAATGTAGATGTCTATGGGCTACAGCATCCACTTACCATCAAGTGAACTGTGTGCTCGTTTGTTACCCTTTTCTATAAAAATAAAAAAAATAAAAAGAGTAATTTTGTAGACCTATTGGCTCTTTAATGTTTAATAATAATTTGTCCCGTGTGTACTCCTCGGTATTAGATCTTTAGAAGCCAGTTGCTGTTGTGGCCAGACCAGGGCATCATAATTGGATATTCTATGCATTAGCTTCCCATTTCGATAGCATCATCGTAACGATTGTAAACCAGTAAAATTGGTCTTGTGTAATTCTTAAACACGAGCCCACGACACATCACAATGGTGTTTCCCCATGCAATTGTTCCGAACCAAGCTTCGGAACGTCTCGTATAAAATATTAATGGTAGTGTAGAACCCGGCATACGTATCTAAAGCGTAGTCAAGATGGGTGACAAGATAGGGTTCTGCGTTACTGTGTTATTTACTGTGTGCTTGAGTTCGGCTGCGGCAAATTATAGGAGCGATGGGTAATACACTTTTTTATTATTGTAATTAAGACGTTATGAGGATATAGAAGCGGTGTTTAGTCCATACAAAGAAATCTCTGAGTAATGACACCAGTGCATCAATTTTTTCTTACGATACAATCTATTAATCCCGTTACCATGTTCTTTTATTTTATATCTACTCTTATAAATTGAAATAATTCGGTGCCTCTTAAATATACCTATATATACATTTAGAGATATACACTTATACAACAAGACATAGTATACGCATACATTCTCTAAACAAAGTTTCATCGTAATCTAAATTCGGATATAGGAATGCATAGAAGACGAACAAACAAACAAACGAAGTCCATTTTATTGTAGGTGGTTACTGCAGACCATGGACATAAGATACCTGCAACCTGCAAGTCGTCACCCCTATGAAGTCAAAATGAAATCCATCGCCGTCTTTAACAATATTGGCTTTCTTACTCTACGGCAATGGAATTTCGTTATTTCTCAAAGAAATTTTATATTTTGTATGAATATAATATCTAAGTAATCTATAAGCCATAGTGATTAGTGATTACAATAGCATCTGACAGTTTACGATCTCGTCTCAACAAAAGATAAAATGACGAAATAAATAAATAGAATGACGGCTCCGTGGCGCAGTGGCTTAGCAATGGGTTGCTGCGCTGTGGGCCGCGGATTCAAATCCCGCACGGAACAAAGTATTCGTATGGCTTGCAAATAATTGTTCCGGGTCTGGATGTTTGTCCTTGTGCAATTTGTGTTTGTAAACTGCCACCACGATACAGGAGAAAATCCTAGTGTGGGGGTAACGTTTAATAAAAAGAAATCATTATTTCTTATATATAAAAAAATATTTTTCCAGGGGTTTCATGCCAAGTACGGTATACCAGCGTACAGAGGACCAGTTGGCGGAACCATCGGCCAGAGTGGACAAAAATAGTAGAGAGGAGCGCGACAATCAGCCGGACAGAACACAAAGATTCGGTATCACAAACTTCGGAAATGGAGTAAGTTATAACATTACTAACTAGCAGAACACATAAAGGTAGACCATAAAAAGATTACATTGTTTTCATTGCTGGTCATAATGTATATTATCGACATGCAGAAAGTTTGTAAGGCGTTGTTAGCTGTACTGCCAGAGAAGCGCGGGACGCGGACAAGGGAAGTGGGAGGGGTGATCATCGGCAAACCTGCTGCCAGAATGCCCTGGTTGACATGCATTTACTGGAAAAGTTAATTATTCAGATTTGTGGTAAATGAGCGCAGAATTCCCGCGCAATGATGTAGGGGTAATAATTTGGTTCAAAAAATTGGAACGTAGCTTCCACATTTTCGTCCCTACTAATGGAAAAGACTCATTATAACATTACAGCATTCCGTTACACCGTTACCGTTACAGCCTACTAAAGTTCACTGCTGAACATAGCCACCACGTAGATTGCTTTATATGGGGGTGTTTGTCATTGTTGTCACACTTGACAAGAAGGTTGGCAACCGTAGTTTATTTTAATTTTAAGTCGTTATTAGGAAGACGCTACTGTCCATCTACTGATTTGTTTCCCTCTGTCGCCTCTTACGACTAGGGTTGCCAACTTTTTACACGAGAAATAAAGTATATTAAGGTCGGAGAGCAAAAACAAACAGTAATTTAATAAAATTAACAATATTTTAGTAAAACAAAGAGTTTTTTTTTAAGTCTCTAAACTTACTTTTAGAGCTTCTTGCGTTTAACAATTTACTATCACTTTTATAATATTCGTAAGCATCTTTACGATTTAAGTTAAATTTAAAATAAATGAAAAAAAAAATAATAATGAATAGAAGAATTTTTAGAACAGTATTTTATATAATATAAGTAGAGAAAAGTATTAAAGAGTGAAATAAAGTATGATACTGCTTTTAACAGTATGGTTGGCAACCCTACTTACGACACCCCCGGGATGGTATAGATTCTGCGATGTTAAAATGCTGTTAGCCTATGCGGTTCTTACAGCTTCATCGGACTCAATACGGGATGATATGGGGGAGTGGATATTCTTACACCGCCACTTAACGGTAATTACATATTCCTGACCAATCAAATGAAAATTAAGGCAAACCGATAAAATATGAATTATTAAATCACAATTACAAATAATAGCGAAATTGTAATAATAAATATTTATTAAAATGTGATAAATAATACGAATTTGTGATTTTTTATATGATATAGGGTGACAAACGAGCACATAGTCTACCTGATGGTAAGTGGTTGCTATGACCCATATACATCTACATATATCCTGAATAAATAATTAAAATGCAGATGCGTCGTCACCAGTGAGAAGATGGAATGCCTCTTTCCCAGTAAAATGGGTCTCCGGTTCTCTACACTCACCATACGAAACACAGCGGTGTCAAGCTACCATTTTACGCTGGTATTCTGTGAGAGCATGGTCCTTCCCCGGTCGAGCCGACCCATTCATGCTAGAAATATACTGCTAATATAGCTGCAGCATGGCTCTATAATGCTCTATAACGTTGTACCTGAGCCTGATCTCTCTCCGTTCGTGTAGCATCGGACTCGAGCACTATAATCCTATCCTGCATATATGGTTATAGTTTCCGGTGAGACTAGCCGCCGAGTCCGAAATTCGGTTTAGATTACATTGTTATATTAGGTTAAAATACGGAGATAAATGGGCTAGGCAGTACGTTTAATTTTTAAGACTGTGTTTTTAAAGAATTTGAGGGTTACCCTAATTCAATCCATGTTTAAACTGTCTTTACAGTCACCATATGGCGGAACCGCACCTGGAATCTACGGACCAGTAAAAATCGATTTGGGAGGAGTTCTCCTTGGTTCGCTCCTAGGTTTCGGTGCAGTTGTTATACTTCCGAAGATCATCCACGCCTTTTCTTATAGCTATGGAGGAGGATACGGTCGAAGTAAGTCTATGAAAACAATTACAATTGTTTGTACAGTCGTAATCATTTCCTGACCGAACCAGAGCCCAAGCCTAAATCATTGTATTGAAGTTACCAAGTGACTGTGTAGGGTAAGCTCCAAATACCACACGGAGCATATTGGCCGAATTGCATTGGTGCAATGCCCGGCGGGAGATTTCCCCTTTGTCTTCGGTCAAAAGAGATTGGACGGCTCGGTAGTTAAGTGTCTCAGAACGCTCATTATTCAGAAACAATATTGAATGTAAACTCAAATGTAACAATGTTCAAAAGTTTACATATATAATAAATATTATGGAGATTATTTCTGTATACGGCCTAAGAGTTTGGGTGAAGCATTGAGGTTCGTTTCTTGTACGGAACAAGTATTTATGGTCTATAAATAATTGTTTTAATTAACGTCGGATCTGGGTGTTTAACTTTGTGCAATTTATGCATGTGACACGCTTTCAATGTAGGATAAATTACATGTGTGACCCGTTTTTTAAATCTCGACGCAAAGAAAGGTGTGTTATAAGTTTGACTGCTATCTGTGTCTGACTATGGCATTGTAGCTCTTAAACGGGTAAATTACCGATTAGGCCGCGTTTTTTTCTTAATTTAAACGCAGGTTTTCTGGCGTTGGTTCTTAGACATGTTTTATCAAAACCGGTTCAAACGTTTGAAGATCATCAGCTCTTTTTGTTTCGGGGTTTTGTGCCGACTTCCAAAAAGGAGACAGTACTCAATTCGACTGTATGTTTTTTTTATGTGTGTTACCTCATAACTTTTTACTGGGTAAACCGATTTCAATGATTCTTTTTTTATTTGAAAGCTGGTACATCTCGTGTGGTTCCATATGAATTTGATTAAGGTCAGACCAATAGTTTTTGAGTTATTCTTAATAACTAATATTGAAGTCGGCTGTACAAAATTTTTAATTTTTAATTATTTAATTTTCAATTTTAGTTATCATTATTTAAATATCAGACGCAGAGAGTCATCGCAAGCAAGCAAGAGTTACAATTTTCGGCAGTATGGAGATTGTATAACGCATTATAAACTGAATTTGACCTGCTTAGTGCTAAAGTAAACTATCTTTATAAAACTCTGAGAAATGGGACTCTGAATTCTTTTAATACGCTCTGGAGCAGCATGGGCCCTGATTATAGCAATCAAAAATGAGAGCAGGCTTCGTAATATAATGTACTACGCTATTGTTTTACATTTAATTTAGAATGTTCTGTGTTTTATTTATTAATACTACCTATGTTACAATCCAAAAAAAGTCCACTGCTAATCATAATCCTCCCCCATATTTACCATAGTTGTCACGCTTGGATGGCAACCGCAGTTTTTTTTAATGTTTTTAGGTGTTGTAATTAAGACGCTGCTGCCCATCTTCTGGTTTGTTTCCCTCTCTCGCCTCTTACGACACCCAAAGAATAATATCGGGTACATGGTATAGATCAATATTTACATAATAATATATTTACAAGTTGAGAGGCATTTTATATTATTCTTATGTGGTGACAACGCATCTGTAGTCTACTTTGTTTAAAGTTGTTTTGTGTGTTTGCAGTTGACAATGGACTATAGTTGCCACTTACTATCAGGTGGACTATTAGCTCACTTGTCATCTTATCACTTCAATGATGCAACAAAAAAAAACACACACACTAATGGTTCTTTAAAATACCTGAATATTTATTTATAACCAGGCGCGGAGACAGATCTTCACGTAGTGTCGGACATGCTAGGCAAACTGGACGAAACGCTCAGCAAGTACAACATTGATTCGACGGCCTGTATGCAGCGACTGTCCTGTTCTTACGTGCAGCTGGCAAATGAGAATATGGTCAACGGAAATGCAAGCGATTTTGACGTGATGTTAGCATCGCTGTCCAAGTAAGTGTTAGTTGCTAACGTAGAAATGTTTATATGAAATAGGGACTGTATATAAACCAAAAATTAATTTAGTATACGTGGTAGAGCCTCACTGCAGCTATACGGTTGTAGTACGAGTACGTCTGATCAATCGCGGAAGGACAAAGCTCTCACAGAATATCAGCTTAATGTTGGCGTGTTTCACTGGAAACGAAACATTCCATCTTAGTCCTCAGTGACTACACATCTGCATTTTGATTCGAGGATAGATGTCGATTTCTATGGACCCCATCATCCAATTATCATCAGATGAACTGTGTGCTCGCTTGCCGAACTATTTCTATAACAAAGTAAAATTTTATAAGTGAAAATGGTCAATGGAGGCTGTACATATCAGCAGTAGACTTTCTATTGGCTGTAATGAATAGATTAATAGATAATTTAAAATGAAAAAATTTTGTACACCCGACTTCTATATAAATTATTAAGAATAACTTAAAAACTACTGGTCAGACCTTGATCAAATTTATATGGGACCACATGAGAAGCACCATCTTTCAAATAAAAAAAAATCATCGAAATCGCTTCACCCAGAAAAAAGTTACGAGATAACACACATAAAAAAAAGAAAAAAACATACAGTTGAATTAAGTACGTGGAATTCATACGTGGTAGAGTCATGCTGCATCTATATTATGGTTGTAGCACGAATGGGTCGGCTCGACCGGGGAAAGACCACGCTCTCACAGAATACCAGCGTAAAATAGCAGCTTAACGCTGCTGTGTTTCGTATGGTGAGTGTAGAGAACCGGAGACCCTTTTTACTGGAAACGAGGCATTCCATCTTAGTCCTCACGGGTGACAAGGCATCTGCATTTTGACTCTTAATCGAAGATAGATGTAAATGTCTATGGACCACAGCGATCACTTACCGTCAGGTGGACTGTGTGCTCGTTTGTCACCCTTATCTTATAAAAAAAAAAGTACCTCCTCCTTTTTGAAGTCTGTAGATGATGATGAGCTATAACCTCTTGGTCTTCAGGGAATAACAATATAAGTTAATTCTTAAATAATTGAATTTAGCTGCAAGTCTGTGGGCCACAGTGAAAAACATACCACCAGATGGACTAAAAATCATTTGACACTATCAGCATTACAATCATTTGAATTATATGTCATTGTTTGTTTTTTTTCAGTAACTCTTTAGTACGCCGGATGATGGACGGCACGTCGATATTCGAAGCATTGTCCGCCGGCAAATCTCTAGACACGGATTGTGAGACACTGTATCCCAAGTGTAAATTAGATAAGAAAACTGTTATTAAGATAATGTCGCAATTGATACCTGCATAGTGTTAATTTTTTTTTAAATAAATCATTAAAATAAAACAACTACTGCGAGTTTAGTATTCTTAAATAATTGTTTTTCAACCTTGTAGTGGTGTAAGAATATCCACTATCCCACATCGTCATATTGGTTTCGTAAGAGGCAACAGAGAACAAATCAGAAGACGGGCAGCGGCGTTCTCCTAATCACATCTAGAAAATAAAAAAACTGCGACTGCCATTTAAGCTTCCAAGTGTTATGGCAGACATGATATATAGTCCAGCAGTGTACTTTTGATATTAATTTTTTTTTATAGAAATAGGGTGACAAACGAGCACACAGTCCACCTGATGGTAATTGGTTGCTGTGGCCCATAGACATCTACATCTATCCTCGTTTACGAATCAAAATGCAGATGTGTTGTCAGCCTTGAGGACTAAGATGGAATGCCTCTTTTCCAGTAAAAAGGGTCTCCAGTTCTCTACACTCACTATACGGAATACAGCAGCATTAAGCTGCTATTCTACGCTGGTATTCTGTGAGAGCGTGGTCCTTCCCCGGTCGAGCCGACCCATTCGTGCTACAACTATACCAGTAATTATAGCTGTAGCATGGCTCTACCACGTATAAAAAAAGTAAGCAATAATCAACGGTTTTAAGTACGAAGGGCGACTGACAAGTCCGCGACCTAAGGTACGTAATGAAAGAAAATATATGGTTTCTATTTTTTATTGTTAAATATAATCTCCCTCAAGTGAAATACATTTCTCACATCTCGCATGCAATTCCTTTAACCCACCCAAAAATATTTTGTATCTTTCTCTTCAAATGACGATCAACTGCAGCTTTCATTTCGTTGTCATCTTCGGCCCCTTCAGTCCTTTTTCAAATTTGAAAACAGGAAAAATCTCTAGGTGCTAGGTCTGGACTATACGGAGGGTGGTCAATCTCTGGAAACCCCGTCTTTCAGGGCTTACCTCACAACATGTGCGGTGTGAACGGGCGCGTTGTCTTGCGGAAAGAGCATTCCGCGTGTCAGTTTCCCACGTCGTTTCTGTACAATAACCTCGAGAACAGGAGTCAATAAATTGACGTAATACTGGCCATTCATTGTAGTTTCCCTGGGTAGGTAGTCGATAAGCAAAATTCCCTCGCTATCCCAGAAAACAGTCGCCATTAGCTTGGACGCCGACTTTTCCAGCTTGAATTTCTTCGGCGGCCGTTCTCCTTTTTTTATCCATTGCATGAACTCTTGTTTGGACTCCGGATCATATTGGCGAATCCATGTTTCTTTAAAATCTTTGCAACTTGCGAGTCGACGTTGTTTGTTTAGTGGTGTGAGCATTGTCGGTACCCAGCGCGCGCTAATTTTTCTCATATTCAAATGTTCATGTAAAATTTCTCCAATTCGTTCTTTGCTAATCTGAGGTTCTACAGAAATCTGCCACAATTTAATTCTTCAGTCAGCCAGAACGATTTTTTTCGACTTTTCGGACGTTTTCTTCGGTCAGTACCGTGACAGGGCGAGGGTCCGGGCGAGGGTCGTCTTCACAGGTCTCTCGTCGCATATGAAGGCGCAGAATCCCGAAGAACCGATGACATCTCTTCAAAAATGTCTTTCGGTGTATTTCCCTCTCTTTACGAGGAATTTTATCACGGCGCGGTGTTCAAAATTCCGAGAATTTCCAGATTCGGCTGGCATGGTGATGTTTGTTGTTCAATAAATAATTTAACTATGAGTGCACACTTAATTAGTGATTGCTTTTATAATACTACTGAGTGTTACAACTAGTGACATGAGTAACAAGAACCTACCGTAGGCTACGAACTTTTCAGCCGCCCTGGTAAGGCTAGCGATCAGCCCCGGCTTCGGATGTTTCTGTAACTCGACAACACCTACCGGATCCAACTATAGCTAAAAAACATCCAGGTGACCCGATCACCCCGCACACGCGCTTTTTATAAAATTTCAGATTTATTGATTTGTCATAAGACTCAAATTATATGCAACAAACTTCAAAGCGAGTTAGACGCGGGTGCTGACGCGCGTGGCGTGCGCGTAGCGGGTGCGTGTCATCGGAACGCGCCCTAAGGGGGAGATGAATTACGAATACACGCACACAGGAATTTTATGTACAAAGATTTGAAATAACCTTGTAAATGCCCAAATAATAATAAGCCAACACTATTAAAATTGCATTTAACAATTCTAGCGTTGGTACAAGAGCTCACTAGATGGTAGGACTTCTTTTCAGCCCAGGAATTCATCTGAGTGGGCAACACACCCTCTTACCTATTTCCGTTGCCGAATAGTAGTGCGTGCACTGTTCCAGTCTAAAGAGAATACAATACATTACAATAACTGTATTTCAGAATCCCATAGCAACTAACCAACAAAAACCTCAACCGAAAAATATACAGGGTTATTTTTCAAAGAGTAGCCCAATTTTAAACTTAAGTTCTAATATATAAGTCATGATATACCGTTATCGCAGTTTTTGAAAATACGAGTAAATAAGGAATCTACTTTTATTTGAAATTGTCAAAAATTGAATGTCATTTATGGGCAACAACGTTTTTGCCTACCGATCGACCCATACGAATTTTTCGCGCGTGTTTTTCTTCACCATTTGCCCATAGTACTTATTCTGGTCGGTTATTGCAAAACTATTGGTAAATCTAATTGTGCGTGCCCTAAGCGCATTAAAAATTATGTATAACATGACTATGCGGATTTTTTTAAATTAGTTTAAATACACACAAGTTTTCACTAATAACCTTATTATACTTCCAATTTTCCGATAATTTTATGTCAAACTTCAATTTAAAAAAAAGTTTGGTAAATCCAAAAGTGCAGGTATCATAATGCTCATATGATCATCATATCATCATTCAGGTCACTCCATAGAGTCCAAGACGTATTTAAGTATAAATATACATCCTACTTACTTTTAGTACGTACTACTATTATTTATTCTGTGCTTTTAAAGATGCAGTATCCACTCACGACGGCGGTTGACGCCGAACTGAAACTTAGTGAGGCAGTCTCTATTTAGTAAAAAATAAATTCATACAAGGTTCAAAAATTTATTATAACTAAACTAAACTATAGATGAAGAGTTTTAAAAATAGATTTAGTTGAACAATTGATATTTTCAAAAGTTATCGTGTTTACGAAGCCATGCGCACTTGATAAATCCACACCATAAGCCACTAAAATCCCTTTATTATGTAAAAATAGCAACTAATCGATTTTAAAAAAATATTAATATCTTCAACAATCATTTATCTTTCTGACAATGTGTTTTTTATATCATTTATATTGTTACGCGCCACTATTAATGTCTTGTACATGGCAACACTAGTTACACTAGCGCCCTCTAGTGTCGAGTAGCAGAACTAGGAGAGTCGAGATCCTTCCAGAAATTTCGGGACCGATATGTACTCGAACATTCTAGATGTCGCTACAGTAGAAGGTTCTGGAAACTGTCTGAGGCCCTATATAAGGCCGGTATAGACCACGACCGAGGCAGTATTGAATTGGCGATACAAGAGAATACTTCGAAGCGAAATAACGGCGAACTGTGTTTTATTATTAGTGTGATTTTAGATTGTAATTAGTGTTGTGTGATTAAAGTGTCAATTTTGGTAATTCAATCGGCAGTTTTTAATTGTCTCGAACCCCAAGCTCGTAACAATTGGTGTCAGAAGTGGGATCAAATATGCCGATTTTACCTAAAGACGACACGGAGGGTATCCGTACCCGAAGTCAACGCCAACAGGAGACGGACCAGAGACGATTTGGTAATGCAACGCCGCAAACGTCGGATGGGCAGCTGCTAACCACGGAGGCCGGCCCGTCAGCAGCTCCTGCATCTGCAGCACCTGACTTAGGTGCTCTGATGATGATGCTGCAGGATCAGGCTCGCCGACAGGAGGAACAGGCCCGCCGACAGGAGGAACAGGCCCGCCGACAGGAGGAACAGACCCGTCGGCTGGAAGAGCAGCTGCAGCGCGGTATGGAAGAACAGATGCTTCTCAGGAAGGACCTTCACGCTACCTTCGGGAAAGAGATAAAGGAGGTGAAGGATAGGGTTGCTCAACATGACAACCGCCTGTCGGAAGCTGAAACCCGAATCGACCAAGTGAACAATCGGGTTGACAACTTGATGGCTGATGTGAAGAAAACGCTGGACGACCTCAAACTTGGGGATGGAGTTACAGCTCCCGTGGTAGCTACAACACCTTCGCTACGTGGATTCAAAGTGCCACCGTTCGACGGGACTTCTTCCTGGTCGGCCTATAAAATCCAGTTCGAGGCTGTCATGAAAGCGAACGGCTGGAATAAAAGTCAGGCCATGGCTGCTCTCACCCTAGGCCTGCGCGACCAGGCATTAACTGTTCTGGAAGCTCTCGGTAAGGAAGTGACTTACGAGCAGCTCCTTGAGGCATTGGAGGCGAGATATGGCGACGCTCACCTGGAACACGTCTTTCGTGCGCAGCTCAAAGATCGCGTGCAACGCAGTAACGAAAACCTGCAGCAGTGGGCCCTTGAGGTGGAGAAGCTGGTTCGAAAAGCGTACCAGTCTGTACCTGCGCTTATTGTAGGGAACCTGGTGCAGACATTCATCGACGGCATCCGCGACCTTGAAGTCAGAGCTGCTGTGAGGCTCGGGCACCACGAGACGCTTAAGGACGCCTTGACCCATGCACTGGAGGTGGAAGCCGTGCGGCAGGATCATCGTTCCCACCGCGTCAGGGAGGTTGCAGCAGCTAAAGTTCAGGACCGCAATAAAAGCTACAGCCCTAGGTGCTACGGCTGTGGAGAAAGGGGCCATCTTCGATCCAGCTGCCCTAAGCGAACTGTAAAAAGGGAAGGTGATCGATCTCGAGAGGGTAGTGCGGATAATAGCACCGCCCAGCAGCAGCAGGGAAACTGGCGGGTGCTGGCTGATGTTAAAAGAGCCCCAAGGATTTCGATCTCACAAACTCATGATGGGAACAGCCTAATCATCAAGGGCGAAGT